GTCGGCTGTTGGATCGATGCATCGATACAAAACGATTATTATTTACACCCCTACTGCTCAGTGGTCCGCGGTGCATGTATGCTCAGACACATGAAACATTAGAGTGAACTCCTGCGCCAACCATTCCTCATACCATGAGTGACACACAAATAGATCCATCATGCGAGTGAGACAAGTTTAAAGTACAGATGAATAAAATCCTTATTTTTGGTTTTAGGCAGGAAAATTCCTCCATATAAGCAGAAAACCTGCAGGATCGGCACAGGGAGGTTTATTGGGTCCATCAGAACCTCAGACTCACCTCCCTCTGGGTACATCTGCCTTCTTGTCTCCACCGGCCAAGTTCTTGTATCCGTCTCCCGGTGAAAGGCCTCCCCTACCGTCCCAACGGTCCTCCTTCTCCTCGCTGTGGCTTCGCTCCGAGGAAGACAGGCTCTGATTGGACGGTGTGGACGTGGACAGGTGTTCTGTGCTGCTGTACACCTACAGATCAGGAAAAGCAAATGCGTCATTTGATGCGTTTAGTCTTCCTTACACAACGAGGAGCCGAATCAGAGCGACGTCCACCTTGCTGAAGCGGTGAGCGACTGAGGAGAACTGTCTGAGCTCCAGGTTGGACTCGTCATCGTTGGTTTCGTCGTCATCTGAACCCAGATGGCAGTAGCGCTCCGACCGTGCTACAGGAGGCAGAGGTGAAGAGAGAAAAAATTGGATTGGGCAACAGCTGATGAGATGTTTCAGAAATAACCGACATACTGTCAAAGTAGCTGGTGTCCTCTTCAGACTCCAGCTGAGGTATGAACTCTGCTTTCTGCCTCAGGAGGCCGTTCCAGTCCAGGCCCAAAAAGAACATGTGACTCTTCACCTCTGTGGTTCCAGCTGTAGACAAAAAACATCATTAATGATTCTTTCTGAAACATCTGAATGTAGCATAAACTGTACAACAAATTAACCCTTAAGCATCTTTAATGGTCCAATTTTGACTCCATACTTTTAGACTGGGATTTTTTCTGGGCTCCAGCCTTTAATATACTACTACTGAGAACGAACTACGGAGAACATCAGCCCAGTTCTAAAGTCCTTCCTTAGGCTCGATGTATCTCAGAGAATAGACTTTAAAATACGCGTCTAAGTCTATAAATCACTGAAAGGCTCAACGCCAAGAAACATTCCAGGCTTATCAGGGGTCGACGTGAAGGATTTTTACCACTTGCCCCTCGGGTTAGTGACTTTCACATTTCAGTTGCCCAGAAACAATTTTTACTTGCCCAGTATAATGTTTGATAAATATAGTTCATAATATTCATCTTTGTATATATATATCAATGAAACATGTTTGTTTTTTAAATATTTTTTGTAATTCAGTAAGTTTCCAGGTTCCTGGTGTGTATCTGCATGCGTCAGATAATGAACTCAAGCCTACATTACCGTGTTAACATGCTTTTCAATCCTTCCTGCACATTCTTTTAAAAAAAAATAAACTTTGCTTTAAACTGTTGTGTGCCTGAAAAAAAAAAAAATGTTAATTTTAAAAACCAAAAAAAAAAAGTTGACAGGTTAAAAACTTACA